ATATATAGAAAAGAATTTTGTTTGTGTAGTGCTAAATATGACTGATACTAAAAGTTTGATAAATCTGAATTGCATGAATTTAATGGTGTATTTTATGCTATAAAATTCATAATGTGAAGTCATTTGCATCAAAGGACTTCCATAAGATACAATTTAGAATCCGTTTACAGTAATTTTGGTAGCATCTAAAATAAGAACTGAACTAATATATAATCCATTTACATTAACATTAATTGCGAAGCAGAGATGAGATCAACTTAAGTTTCTCAAAATTTAAACCAAGAGGAATTTGGAAGAATGCTGAACCGAACTGATGAAGTTAAAAACTGAACTGAGTTCATTTTTATGTGATCTTTGATCATGTTACTATCTCAAAATTTTGTTTCTATCAAAAGACACAATAATTTAAATGAGCCTTGTTTGTAGTGGTTCATTTTTCCCGTCATTTTCTCTAGTGATACAAGAGAAAAGTTCAGTGGGCTCTCACTTCGATAATACTTAGAGCATACCAAAAGTAGTGGCCCAGGTACTTTTCTTTCTTGTTGAAAGCTTGAAAAAATTTTCTTTTCTTATGAACAGATAGAGCGTCTTTCGCTCTATTTTTCTATGCTATTTGATCACTATTCAACTAATATCATAATAATAAAACTTCGATAAGAACTGTTTTTGTTGACAACTAGCTAGTACCATTTAGATCATAATGGGTGTGGCATAAAAATGAGGCACTCTTGCATTTCATTTTATCACCACATAATACCTTGCATTAAAAAAAAACAAAATATACCACAAGATGCAGCGTGAAAAACTCTACAATTTATAAAGGACTGGCTATTTTATAGTTGCCCTTTTTTGTTTTCAAAATGGACAAAACGCTGAGCGACTAAATTGCGACGTTACGAAAACGAGATTGTTTTTTGGTAAAAGACGAATTCATTTTTTTTCTATCTCATCTTTTTATAATTGTTCTTTCTAAATTGTAGAGCTTTTCATGATATATCTTATAATGTATTTTCTTTTATAAAATAAAACATATTAGGTAATAAAAAGATGAAATAGGAAAAAACCGAATTCGTTTTTTACCAAAAAATAATTTCGGTTTTCTAACGTCAAAATTTAGTAGCTCAGAGTTTTGTCCATTTTGAAAACAAAAAAAGTGCAACTATAAAATAAATGATCCCTTATAAATTGTAGAGCTTTTCACGCTGTATCTTGTGGTATATTTTGTTTTTTTAATACAACGTATTAGGTGATAATAAAGTGTAATACAAAAGTGCTACACCCATTATAATCTAATGGTACCAACTAATTTTCAACAAAAAACAATTCTTATCGAAGTTTTATTCTTATAATATTAGTTTAATAGAGATCAAATAGCATAGAAAGTTTGAGCGAATAACGCTCTATCTGTTCATAAAAAAAGAAAAGTATTGTAAAATAACATTTGAAAGAAAAATTAATCACGTATTACTCTCAGTTTGTAATAATAAACATAGTTCTGTTGAACACCTTATTATGAACAATCGTATTAATCATAATGAAATTGATTATCTATAGTCATGCCTTCCCTATCTTTGTCTTTTATCAATTAATTATTTAGTTGGAGCAGAATATCAACGGATAAAAATAAATACAATTAAATTAAAATATTTAACACATCTATCTTTTAAATTAATATGTCTTGATTTTAATCGATTTGAACAATTAATGATAGATTATTTTTATCAAATAGAAATATTACATATTTAGATGCTAATCAATGGCAATTATTTATTTTAACTCATATGACAAATTTAAAAATTTTTGATATACATCATACAGAATCTGTACAATATCATAATTACGTTAATAATAATCAAATATCATATCATCATTTAATTCATAAATTTATTTCTTCATTTTGGATTGAACGAAAATGGTTTTTTACACATCAACATGATTGGAAAAGGAATTGTCAGAGGAATATTTCTATTCGACAAATCCTTATAAGTATGAATAGATTAGATGATTTTAAAAAAACATCGTGTGACATATACGGAGAATCAGAGAGTGTTAAAAATACATCTTTCGAATATTCAATTTTCTGGATATGGAACAGTGCTATCGAAAATGATTATATTTATTTTGAATTATTAAGAGAAAATATTATAGATTAGATTGAGATATCGCTGAAAATCGTTATTCATCTTATCTAGAAACAAATTTCGATGTAGTTAATCATCTGTGTGGAGGATGTGGGGAGTGGTTGTAGATAATTGATCGACCACCGACATCCACACCCACCAATACCCAACTTGGCACTTCACCCAGTGATAATCATTTCATATGAATATTGTGCATGTCACTAGATAATCTCTTCAAATCTCAATGAACGAGATGCAAAGTCTTACGGTACTTATCGATACGTTTAAACGTATGAGCAATGATATTCTTCATAGTGTAAGAATTTTACTACACGAGAACCTCATTTAGGCGATCTTTTATTGTCTAATGTGATACTTTTCTTTCGAACAAATGGTTTTTCACAGAATTCTTCCCACTCGACTATATTTCGTCGCATTTGCTGTGCAAAATTACAAAAGGTGTCCAGATCTGCATGAAAGTAGGCTGAGAGTTGGCGACGTCTCTTTTTCATTAAGTTCAGGTCTGAATCGAGTTGCTGTCGGTGTTCTATTTCTTCTCTTGATTTCAAAGCGCTACCGATATATCCATCAATTGTGGTCCAGGCACTTTTTTCTTCTGAAATATCTGTAATAAATGATCCAGATCGTTCGATCATCTTCCTAAAATACAAAACGCTTTGATCTGGTGCGTCCCGAAGCTTCATGCCAGCAACATGATCGGTCGTTGACAAGATTTTCGGACGATGATGAGGCTGTTCTCCAGGACCATGCTTAATCTTATCAGCCTTAGTGCGTTCATGACGGTGCATCCAGTGACGAAAGCGTCGGTTACGTGCGCGTGCTCCACTCCACGACAGAACAGACTCAGTATCACTCATATCGTCTGTATTCGCTTGATCATAGAATGATTGCTTCTGTAGAGCAGTATCGTACGATGTTAGAAGACCCTGTTGCCAAATCACAAAAGGATATGACCTTCTGCGTCGAAGCTAGGCATATCATATAGATTTATGTTGAAAGACATTTCAGTTGATGATTCAAACAATACTCACTAGTTTCTTGACTAATGTCTTGTAACCCATCTGAAAATCGCTACTGGATCCTGCTAATTTAAACCAAGGTTTATAAGCAATGACGAAATTGATCCATCCTTTGACGATATAATCCGATGTTACGGCCACAGCAATGATCGTTTTATGCTCATCTGACGCATAGCGAGCTTCTTTTTGACAATAGTAATCATGAGTGTAGGCTTCGCTTATGCAAAGTAGAATGATGTCACTGTCATCTATTTCGCGAGCCACCATGGCGTCAAATCTGTTGTGAATTCTGTCACGATCGATCGAAACTTGAAAACCATCCTTAATAAGACAAGTAGCGAGATGATGGCATAGAACCTTGTCTTCCCAACAATAGCTTATCATAACAGTACAGGACAAATGCTGCTTCTTCGCTGAAGCAAGCGGAGATGTTTTTCCATTATTTGACACCTCATTCGATTTCCTATTTGATGGTACAACTTGAGTTAATGCTTTGTTTTGACAATGACCCATCACTTAAATGTTTATCACAATTTTCGAAACTAAAAGAAAGCACGTGCTCGTGTTTTGTTTTATCACTTGCGACTAGATAGTGAATATTTGTTGAGTGTTCGCTTTTTGAAGAAAAGGAAAGTGAGTTTGAGAAAGATTTCTCTTTATCATGGACTCTGCATATTATAAACGTATTGTTGCAGAGTTTATGTTTTATCATTCATCTATAAGATTTCTGCTTGTGTTTGTGGTGTTAGACAAGATTGTTTTTTAAACAATGATTAACTCTATTGATGGCTTTCATCGTTTGAGAAGTATGAAAAAGCATGCAATCGGTTCTCTCATTGACGGATACGATAGAACGAAATGAATATTAGTGTTCTATGCGAAAGAAAGGGTGTGAGTGTGGGTGTGGTCGTGTTGGCATGGGTATGGGTATGAGTATGAGTGTGGGTGCGGGTGCGGGTATGGGTGTGCGGTGTGGGCATGGACGTGGGTGTAGCTGTCGCTATGAGAATGGGTGTGGATGTGAGTGGCTGTCTTATTATCATCACACCCACCCACCTACACCCGTACCCGCACCCGCACCCGCACCCACACTCACACTCACACTCTTTCTTTCACATAGAACACTAATATTCATTTCATTCTATCGTATCTGTCGATGAGAGAACCGATTGCATGCTTTTTCATACTTCTCAAACGATGAAAGCCATCAATAGAGTTAATCATTGTTTAAAAAACAATCTTGTCTAACACCACAAACACAAGCAGAAATCTTATAGATGAATGATAAAACATAAACTCTGCAACAATACGTTTATAATATGCAGAGTCCATGATAAAGAGAAATCTTTCTCAAACTCACTTTCCTTTTCTTCAAAAAGCGAACACTCAACAAATATTCACTATCTAGTCGCAAGTGATAAAACAAAACACGAGCACGTGCTTTCTTTTAGTTTCGAAAATTGTGATAAACATTTAAGTGATGGGTCATTGTCAAAACAAAGCATTAACTCAAGTTGTACCATCAAATAGGAAATCGAATGAGGTGTCAAATAATGGAAAAACATCTCCGCTTGCTTCAGCGAAGAAGCAGCATTTGTCCTGTACTGTTATGATAAGCTATTGTTGGGAAGACAAGGTTCTATGTCATCATCTCGCTACTTGTCTTATTAAGGATGGTTTTCAAGTTTCGATCGATCGTGACAGAATTCACAACAGATTTGACGCCATGGTGGCTCGCGAAATAGATGACAGTGACATCATTCTACTTTGCATAAGCGAAGCCTACACTCATGATTACTATTGTCAAAAAGAAGCTCGCTATGCGTCAGATGAGCATAAAATGATCATTGCTGTGGCCGTAACATCGGATTATATCGTCAAAGGATGGATCAATTTCGTCATTGCTTATAAACCTTGGTTTAAATTAGCAGGATCCAGTAGCGATTTTCAGATGGGTTACAAGACATTAGTCAAGAAACTAGTGAGTATTGTTTGAATCATCAACTGAAATGTCTTTCAACATAAATCTATATGATATGCCTAGCTCCGACACGGGAAATTAGATCCTTCTATGAGGATGCAACCTGGCAGAATACTACCAGCAAAAGAAATCGAAAAACGTCGAGCTGCTTACGATGCAGCTCTAGAAAATCAAATTGCGCATGATCAACCAAAAATACTCCAAGTGAAACAGCACATTGACGAGTTGTCGAAATCGGTTGAGAATGAACCAGAGGATAAAGATTCAAAGTGCCTCGCTCATATGAATGCGCTGAACCATTGGAAAGAAAAATATCCTCATGCGACCTGGTTAAATGTTGCACCATTTACCGCTACAGGTGATATTAATGATGCTGTATTTAATCCACCACCGAGTGCAACATATGATCGTAGCAGTCGATTTCGCCATGCCATTCATGACTTTGAAAGTTAAAGAACTGATAACATTGAAATTGTCACCGAGGAAAAGCCTCATCATCGTTTTACAACGATGACGGCAGATTATCATGCTGCTTGCAAAACAAATCTCTAGGACATATGAAATTAAGCTTTGGAGTGGGTGCGGGTGTGTCTTTGGGAGTGAAGATGACGATAAACACTGATGGATGGCTGGGGATGTGAGTGTGGGTATGGTCGTTGGTGTAGGGGTCTTAATGTTCTCTACACATAAACCTCTCCACCCGCCCACACCCACATCCAAATTAGTGGTGGCACTTTATCTTTACTTTATCGAGTAAAGTAAAGTAAAGTAAAGTGAAGTATCTCTTACTTTACCGAAAAAGTAAGATGAGGTAAAATAAGATAAAGTAAAGCATGTAGTTGATGATTATTGATTTATTAGTTCATTATCACGCATTAATCGTATTCCAATGCATCAAAAGTTGCGGCGAATTACGGACCGAGGGTCTCCAAAAGATTGAGCCTCATTTTATTACCTTGAGAATTAGCATTGAACCCTAACTATTTTTCATAATTTTATTTCCTACTTTACC